ACCGAACCCAGCACGCTTGGAACCCAACCTCGGGTTTGACGGAACCCAGGCGTTGGGTTCCAAGGAACCCAGGCATTGGGTTCGAAGGAACCCAAGCATTGGGTTCGAAGGAACCCAAGCGCTGGGTTCCCTTGAACCCACGCCTGGGTTCTTCGAACCAGCTGGGTTTCGTCAAACCCAGGCAGGGGTTCAACGGAACCCAGGGGGTAAAATATATATATATTTTTTTCTGTGGGTTTGGTGTTTGATGATGATGAAGAAAGCAAGGTTTGGAACCCAGCGGAACCCACCCCGGGTTTGACGGAACCTAAGCGTTGGGTTCCAAGGAACCTAGGCGCTAGGTTCCCTTGAACCCACGCCTGGGTTCTTCGAACCAACTGGGTTCCATGGAACCCAACCTTGGGTTCCGTCGAACCCAGGCGGGGGTTCAACGGAACCTAGGGGGTAAAATATATATATATTTTTTTTTCGGTGGATTTGGTGTTTGATGATGATGAAGAAAGCAAGGTTTGGAACCCAGCGGCGAACCAGTTGGGTTTCGTCGAACCCAAGCGTGGGTTCAAAGAACCCAGCATGCCTGGGTTCCTCGAACCCAAGGGGTAAAAAATATATATATTTTTTCTATGGGTTTGGTGTTTGATGATGATGAAGAAAGCAAGGCAAGGAAGAGGAAGGAGAAAAAAAGGGCGCTGTTGGGTTCGATTCAACCCAGGTGCTGGGTTTGTTTGCTGGAGGAAGATGATGATGGCAAATTCGTAATTTTAGTGGGCCCCACTTTTGTTGGGTTGGGCAAAAACATGACATGTCACGTTGCCATGTCATTATTTATTCATTTATACAACTGATGTGTCTCAAATGTTTGACATGTCATTCAATTGTCGTAAGATAACGGTGATATTTTAACGGAAGGACCAAATTGGGGTAAAAATGGTAAACAGTAGGGACTAAATCAAGAATTTTTTTAGTTCAGGAACCAAATCAAGGGTCCATACAATAGTTCAGAGACCAAAAAGGGGTTTTAACCAATTGAATATTGATTTCATCAAGTCTACTCTTTCAGTAGCACCTTTCTTCCTTTTTTTTTAAAGAGACAAGTAGATATTTGTTTCTCACCCGTTGAATTTAATGTTTAATCTATTAACTATTTCTTTGTTATCACTTTAATTTAGAAACTTTATTTTACTCCAAACTAGCCTAGAAATATTTATCAAAATTTCTTCAATCTTCCCAACAAAACTTCATGTCAACTACACCTAACCCTTCGAGTCAAGTGGCATCCTATCACATTAACGTGCATCCCCCCTCTTCCTTGAGCCCAAGCCCGCCCCTTGACAAATTGTTTAAGAAAAAAAAAATTTCTCATGTCTACAACTACAGGACGTCGTGTCCAACCGTAAGAATAATAAGGGGGAAAACTCAATCTTATGTCTAGACTTTGTCCCTTTTCTTACCTAAGCCTTCAAAGAAAAAAAAAGTATTATGTAAGCCCTTAAATGCCTAGATTTAAGTAAATTAGCATGTGTTATCAACATAATCATGTGAGATCATATAAGTTAAACAATTATTTATTTTTTCTCACTTGAGTAACAATTTCTTTGTACTTAAATGCTAATTTGATAATTCTTTTATACTTAAATACATATATTATATAACTCAAAATTCTCATAATTAAAAGTAAAACGGCTAAATTTTATATCACATTAGCATTTAAATATAAAAAAATTACCACACCAGGTAAAAAAATAATTATCAAGACTATTATTAAAGCAGAGCAAACAAAGAAAAAGACATGCACCATTCCCTTGACAAATACTCACGGGACTCTTGACAATTAAAAAAACACGTACGAGACTAGTATTGAGACTCCATTATTAAAGCAGAGCTGACAAAGAAAGAGACTCCGTTATCGAGTCTCTATTATTAAAGCAAACCAGACAAAGAAAAAGACATGCATCAAACTCTTGACAAATAAAAAAAACATTGTGTACGAGACTATTATTGAGACTCCATTATTAAAGCAGAGCTGACGAAGGAGACTCCATTATCTCTATTATTAAAAGCAGAGCAGACAAAGAAAAAGACATGCACCAAACTCTTAACAAATACTCACGAGACTCTTGACAATTAAAAACAGAATTTGTCTAACCTGTGTCATAAATGTATTTTTTATCATTAATTTACATAAAAAATAATAAAAATTAATATTTATTTTAATATTATTGTTACGTTTTTCAATTTTAATTAATTAATTAATTAAATTCAAATTAATTTTCTTCATTTTTTTATGTATATTCATTATAAAAAGGTGCATTTATTACACCCTAAGACAGAAAATTCCTTAAAAAAACATGTAGGAGACTATTATTGAGACTCCATTATTAAACCAGACCTGAAAAAGAAGAAAACTCCATTATCGAGACTCTACGATTATCGTAGAGCAGACAAAAAAAAAATGCATCGAACTCTTGACAAATACTCATGAGACTCTTGACAATTAAAAAAACATGTATGAGATTATTATTGAAATTCCATTATTAATGCAAAGCTGACAAAGAAGGAGACTCCATTATCGAGACTCTATTATTAAAGCAAAGCAGACAGAAAAAGGCATGCACCGAACTTTTGACAAATACTCATGACTCATAAGACTTTTGACAATTAAAAAAACATGTACCAGACTATCATTGAGACTCCATTATTAAAGCAAAGTTGACAAAGAAGGAGACTCCATTATCGAGACTATTATTATAGTAGAGCAGACAAAGAAAAAGACATGCACCAAACTCTTGACAAATACTCATGAGACTCTTGACAATTAAAAAAACATGTATGAGATTACTATTGAGACTCCATTATTAAAGTAGGGCTGACAAAGAAGGAGACTCCAATATCGAGACTCTACTATTATAGCAGAGCAGACAAAGAAAAAGACATGCACCAAACTCTTGACAAATACTTACGAGACTCTTGACAATTAAAAAAACATGTATGAGATTATTATTGAGACTCCATTATTAAAGTAGAGCTGACAAAGAAGGAGACTCCATTATCGAGACTCTACTATTATAGCAGAGCAAACAAAGAAAAAGACATACACCAAACTCTTGACAATTAAAAAAGACATGTATGAGACTATTATTGAGATTCCATTCTTAAAGCAGAGCTAACAAAGAAGGAGACTCCATTATTGAGACTCTATTATTGAGACTCTATTATTATAGCAGAGCAAGCAAAGAAAAAGACATGCACCGAACTCTTGACAAATACTCATGAGACTCTTGACAATTAAAAAAACATGTACAAGACTATTATTGAGATTCCATTATTAAAGCAGAGCTGACAAAGGAGACTCCATTATCAAGACTATTATTAAAGCAGAGTAGACAAAGAAAAAGACATGCACTGGACTTTTGACAATTAAAAAAAAAATGTACGAGACTATTATTGAGATTCCATTATTAAAGCAGAGCTGACAAAGGAGACTCCATTATCGAGACTTTATCATCAAAGCAGAGTAGACAAAGAAAAAGACATGCACCAAACTCTTGACAAATACTCACAAGACTCTTGACAATTAAAAAAACATGTACGAGATTATTATTGAGACTCCATTATTAAAGCAGAGCTGACAAAGAAGGAGACTCCATTATCGAGACTTTATTATTACAACAGAGCAAACAAAGAAAAAGACATGCACCAAACTCTAGATAAATACTCCATTATCTCCATTATCGAGACTCCATTATTAAAGCAGAGCTAACAAAAGAGACTCCATTATTGAGACTCTTATTAAAGCAGAGCAGACAAAGAAAAAGATATGCACCAAACTCTTGACAAATACTCACAAGACTCTTGACAATTAAAAAAACATGTACGAGACTATTATTGAGACTCTATTATTAAAGCAGAGCTAACAAAAAAGGAGACTCCATTATCGAGACTCCATTATTAAATTAAGCAGAGCTGACAAAGGAGACTCCATTATCGAGACACTATTATTAAAGCAGAGCAAACAAAGAAAAAAACATACACGAGACTCTTGCCAAATTAAAAAGGGATTTTTTTTATATTGTGGATACATATTAAAATGATAATAAATATATATTTTAACAATTAATTTATATAAAAATAATAAAAATTTATTTAAATTTAATTAATTAACTAATTAAAACTATCCACTTGATATTATCACTAAAATAAAAGTTAATTTTTATTATTTTTCATGTCAATTAATTATAAAAAAATATATTAACTATATCCTTAATTTGTGTTTTAAGAATACAAATTAAACAAACCCATTAAAAAATATGTATGAGAGACTACAAAAAATAAATATTTTACGATGATAAAATTAATCATCAAATTTTAAATTTTAAACATAAATTTATTTTATACTAAAAATATAAATTTTTACAATTAATTTTTTATCATAAAATATCTATATTCTTGTAGTAAAACTATTATTGAGACTTCATTATTAAAGTTGAGTTGACAAAGAACGAGACTCCATTATCGGGATTTTCATTATTGAAGTAGAGCGGGCAAAGACATACACATGCACGAGACTCTTGACAAAGAAAAAAAACATGTACGAGACTCCTGATAAAGAAAAAGACATGTACAAGATTCCATTATTGAAACAGAGCAGACTAAGAAAAAGACATGTACGAGGCTCCATTATTGAAGTTACACACAAGTTGCGGTAGCCATAGAAGGATTAGCATAACTCCACACCGCTCCTTAGTAGTGAAGAAATTTGAAATTTGATTTCAAGTCCACTCTTTTAGCAGTACCATAGAAAGCTGATTCATTCTGTGCATAGATATCGATAACAACCTATACTATAGAGTGCTGCTTTGTGTACAATAGAAGTTTTGATAATAAAATTTACATTTTACCGATAAATTTGAAAGAAAAATAAACATTATGGACTAAAGTAATTATTAACTAACAATGAATAGGCCATATAATAAATTTAGGCTTGTTTGACAATATTAAACATTCATTTTCCATACAGTATCTTATTTTAAAATATAATTTATAATTCTTAATTAATTTTCTATAAATTTTACTAATTCTAATTTTTTTATATAGTTTTTGAATAGTAAAAGATAAAAAAATCCTACAACTACAATCACAAGCAGCATTGAGAAACAAAATCTTGGCTGTTCTTCCTGTTTTAGGGGATGTAGGAGTGAACATTAGGTATGAGTACGTCTGTTACTTGCAAAGCACTTTACTCATTTTGGTAAATACCATATTCGAAGTGTAAATAAAATAAGTAAATAATATATCTATAAACATTAAGTCAAATATCAAATATAGAGTTTAAAACTATTTACATAACTTATTTAACTAACTTACCTGTACTTATATAATTAAAATTTTATATGTACTTATTAAATTTAATACATACATATATATATATATGTGAGAATAGTTCCTATCCATTTTGAAATATCTCTTTATCATCATTCAGATAGTTTCATGATGTGTCTTCAGATTTGGTCTCAAAAAGTTTCAAGTAACAGAACATGCAAGCGCAATAGTCAGCCCAAGTAAGGCCTAGCCCAATGAAAAAACAGAAAGCCCAACAACCTTCATTCTCTTTCTGTTGTTTCCCCGGAATAACCCAATGATAGACTGGACTAATAATCAAATTCAACCCTCCAATTAGTCTTTCCGATAATGCTAGTAATCCATCTAATTATAAATTTTGTTATTCAAGCAAAGGAAAGTAAGGACGAATATATCAAACAAAACAGTTAAATAATGCTAAAACAGGGATTAAATAAAACTAAATGGAAGTTACAGGAACATTCTACAAATCAGATAAAACTAACTGCAAATAAAAGAGGCTAACCTGCTGGGGTTGGCCGAATGTTAGGGTGATCCGAACAATGTTCGAAACGCGAGTTAAATCCGACTGTAATAAATTATGAAAGAACCACTACTTGAGTTCTAGATCTTGAGCAGCCCAACTTTCTCAAGGGATTCAACTTAATGAGATTCTGATTTGATGATCTAAAAACAGTGCACACAGAGAGATAAGCACACACCTTAATCTCCATTTTTCCAATACAAAATTTGTTTCCAAATTGACACCGTGCACCTTTGTCTTTCAACTGCGTTCACTCAATGTCATGAGGTCAGACCATCATAACCAGGAGAGTCAATCTGACCTAGAAAAACACTGAATCAGAAGAAAAAAAATGCTTCTAGCTTCATCACTCAAAAGGTTTTTTTCATTGGCTATATCACTTTAAGGTTATACAACACACGAACAAGGTGTTCAATGTATGCTCAAAAAATCAAGGCAAATCCCACCTTCCAGTTAACTCTTGATCTTGTAACAGTTTGACTCTGCTATCTTTTCCTCCATAGATTGAATCAGATGACAATAAAATTCTAGTTTAACTAAATAATGTCCACTCATATAAAGGCAACTTGTTTCAGGAACCGAATATAAAAAAGCCAAACACTCTATTTGCACCCTATATATTATTTTTTCCCTGCAGCCAACACCCTCAAGATTTTCACTCGTAGTCAACACTTTCCGTAATTTAAAACCTGTTAAAAACCCAAAAATTAACAGCTAAACTCCCTATTTGCATCCTGATTTTGTTAGTAATTTGAGATTTTTTGCAAGTTTCAAATTATGAAGGAAGTTGACCGTGGAAAAAAGTAATCTGTAGAATGCAAATAGAGGGTTTGGCCTATGAAAGATCAAATACCATAATATGCAATTGTCAAAGTAATATCTGTTTTAATGGAGAGCCCAGTTCTGAACTGAATATGAAAAATCAAATATCATTCTAACAGTCAATCTAATCTTAGTTCATATGTGTTATATATCAATTTAAAAAGAAAGACTACCGTTTTAATTGTTTGTAATGCAATTGATGGAGAATCAAAGAAAGGAAGAAGCAACCTCAAGTTAACCTGAATAGAAGAAAAACCATAAATGTTAGCCAATTTCCAGACATTAATTCAATGATGGAAAAAATTAACAAGTTGCTGTCATTGAACAGGCATGTACAACATATGAGTGTGTGAGAGGCATGCTACAAAACTGTACAAAGAAGTTCTAAAAGACAGAGTAAGGATCAATTAAGGACATGATCTATTCTCTATCAAATCCAAAAGCATCAATGAACATATACCAAAAACAGTAGTGACAAAAAATGGAAATATTTAGTTATACTACTGTGAAATAAATCGTACTAGGAGAATCATCTTCAATGAATATGACAGTAAAAAACTGATCTAGCTTACTTAAGATAAATGATAAGGTAAGAAGATAGAGAAAAAAAATTAATTCATTCTCTTGCAAATGTAGTTTGATAAAAACAAATGGCTGATACCAGAAAGAAATTGCTTGCCGTTAACATCAATCAAGGAAAATATATGCAATTTCTACTCGTGGATCTCCATAAACAAGTATTCATCCTACCTTGAAATCTAATAGTTGGATCTTCAAAAATACAATCCTCAGCATAAATTTCGGAAGTAAAAGCCCCTATTACAAATGAGGAAAAAAAAAGGTTAGAAGGTGGTTGGTAAGCAAGTAGCATAAGGTTTCTATAACACTAAAAATAGAGAATGATGTACTACAGTTTGCCCTATGCAGACTGCACTACTTTTAATCATTAATGGAGAGTTGGGCCCCAAATATCAAGGAGCCTCCCCCTGCATCAATGGTTAAGTGAAATTCAGTCTGCAGTTCACTTTTTTGTTAAAAATAATCTATCCTATTGTTAATACTATAACCCTGCCAAAATAACAACATTACAGGTCCTAAGCAAAGAATTTCAACATAAAATCAGTCATTTTGACTCAAACTATCACCACTTGGATGAAAGGGTTGCAGGTCTTAAAAATTTTTCTGGATCTCATTTTAGTATTACGAAATTTCTAATTAAAAGAAAAGATCCTTGAAATATCAATTAAGTGCAATGTATATTATTATGTATTGCTGCCAAATATTTATAATGAGAAAAGTTTAGGTGATAATGCCCAGCAAAAGTTTAGTTGGAAGCCACTTTTTTTTTTAATTGAATCAAGAAAACTAATCACATGCAAATTGCTGTCCCTATTGCATTGCATCATTGCATGAAGTTGAACACGGATAGCTTAACATTTTGCAACTTGATGTTTGAGATAAATTAGATTTACAAAACTTTTAAGGACCTATATAGAATTTTAAGGGACCTCTAATATTTGAAAAGATTTGAAAGCATAAGATTAAATTCATTTCTTTTAAATGCCATAAATCTGAATTCAGAAGTTTAAAGAATGAATCCAAAATATAAGTTAGCATGAGCAAGCATGCAATGATGTCCTTGTCCCAAAAAAAACCATGATGTATAAAGTGGGAGTATTTCTCTATTGAAAGGGGGAAAAGCTAATCTTGAAGGGAATAAAATGAAATAAAAAAATACCACACCACGACACCACAAAGGAAACAAGTACACATTCCGACTCCATTGTTCTGGAGGATTGGACTAGAAACATTGTGTGAATGAATCCTAATCCTACAAAAATTTATTTTATTGGATTAAAAATTTGCAGCAAAAATCACCCTGCGCAAAGGGCATATGATCAGCAAATGCCTTTGTCTTCCGACTACAAGTTCACTTCCATGTCATGAGGTGGGACCTTTATAACTAGGTAAGTCAATCCAGCCTAGATAAACACCAAATGAGAAGAGAAAATGTTTCTAGCTATATCACTTTAAGGTTAAACGTGGAAAAGACATTCATTTTATACTCAAGAAATCAAAGCAAATCCCATTCCCTCCAGTTAACTCTTGATCTTCTAACAGTTTGAGCCTGCTATCTTTTCCTCAAAAGATTTGATAAGATGACAATAAAATTCTAGTTTAACTCAATAATGTCCGCTCAAATAAAAGAAACTTGTTTAAAGGGAACTGAATCAAATATCATAAGATGCATTTGTTAATCTAATCTTAGTTCATGTCACATATCATTTATAAAGAAAGACTACCTTTTCAATTGTTTGCAATCCAATTGATGGAGAATCAAAGAATGGAAGAAGCAATTTCAAGTTGCAAGAATAAAGCTGTTTACCTGAATAGCAAAACCATAAATGTTAACCAATTTCCAGACGTTAGCTCAATGATGGAAAAAATTAACTAGTTACTGTCATTGAAAAGGTATGCACAACATGCGTGTGAGAGGCTTGCAAATGTGCAGTATTAGAGCATGCTACTAAACTGTACTCCAAGAATTTAATGAAAGAAAGAAAGATCCCAGAAAAAGTAACATCATGAGAAGAATATGAGCATATTTCTTGATCCTGCACAATACTTCTTCTTCTTCTTCTTCTTCTTTTTTTTTTTTCAAATATCAAATTCAGATATCATCAAATTCAACTGAAAAGCTAGAGCAATAAAAAAAAAATGCTGGGAACTAAATATTTATAAAATAACAGATTGAAAAAATCCTAAGAGGGAAAAAAAGGCTCCTGTAACAGAGTAAGCATTTTCATAATCAGTGGAATCGAACAACAAGGATATACGCTGCCGGAAAAAGGCACTTTAACTACAAAACGAAGCACAATTCCGATCACCAACTTTTTGCATTTGTCTCCCTCGTTGGAGAGCCCAACCTTTATCTCTCTTTTTTTCTCCACTCTAATCCAACATGTCCTCCTTGCGGAATGAGCAACGAATTTTCTTTTGCATTTATAAACACCTTTTTCCTGAGAGGAAAGATTTAGGTGTCTCCGGTCTGCTACCTTCAACAGGGTGTACCGGAAAGTTGACAGATGAAGTAGACGAGCCTGAGAGACTCAGACCCCACAGTCCCCACCCCAATAAAGATCTTATCTTATCAAACACTACAGACCCATTTTTTTTCTAAAGAAAAAAAAAATGAAAATGAACACCACAGAATATCAAGTCAGAAAAAGTTGTGTGAATCAGTCCTTGGTTTCGTACAGATCAAGAAGTTAATTTGTCTTCTGCCGTAAGAGCAGTGCTAGGGGCACTCGCGTCCTGCACTCTCCGGCCGACACTCTCATTTTGATTGGGCCACGTTATTTTGATTAAAGAGGTTGCGCTCCAAAACCCCGCAGAAGCTTACGTGGCCCAATGAAAGTGGAAGTGTTGGCTGGAGAGTGCAGGAGGCGAGTGCCCTAGCACTGCTCTCTGCCGTAATAGGATAGGATCCTGCGCAATGCAGTAAAAATGAACGAATTGAGGTAGACTTGGCCAGGCGAAAATCCATGGCCAGCTTTCTATTCTGTTGATTATAAAAGTATCGCTCCCTAAATTTATAATATAAAAATTTTAATCTTCCATTTTTTTAATTTAAATAAAAAATTCCAGAATGAATAGCAATATTGTGTGCATGTTAAATTCCGTTATCAATGCCACGTCAACACTAATGTAACAATTCCTTACCATAATGACTGTCATTGTGAGGGACATAATTTTTTACTTTTATTAGATATAATAAAATTGAACGTAATTACAAAATTTGACTCAACCAATTTGTTATGATTACAATCATTAGTTTAAACTTTTAAAGTATAAATTCAAAATCAAATATAACCTAAAGTAAAATTACTCAAATCTAACTAACTGAGGTGAGAATTGAATCCAATCAACTCAAAGTGATTATATTAAAGTTAATTAATTTTTTAAAAATTTAGAATTTTGATTAATTATATTTTTATTTTTAATTTTTAAGTATAAAATAAAATTAAATATTATAAAATTATTATCATTTATTAGATTATTAGTTTTGATATTAATTTAAAAGATTTTTTTTACTAAATAATTAATAAATATTAAAATTTTTAAAGAAAAATATAAAACAATTAAAAAATTTTATTTTTATTTTTATTTTTAAAAAAATTAAGGCTACTTAATTTAATCCAAAATATGTGCGAGTGAATTATGAATTTACTTTTTTAATCCAAAATTCAAAATGAAAAAACCTAATAAATTCAAAATTTAAGGTGATTAAATCTGAATTAAATCTGAATTTACTCAATTCCATCTGCTTGTCAAGTTTAATTTTTATTATTTACAATGGCAATCCATGATGACAAAAAATTACTATGTTGGTATTGATATAGTAATTGGTAACAGAATTTTATTAAGTACATGATATCATCAATCATTTTAAATTTTTTTTATTTAAATAAAAAAAATTATAACTTTTATATTATAAATTAAAGAATTGACACTTTCATAATCAAATAAGATAATCAATAACGTAAAGGCTGGCCATAGATTTTCGCCAGAATCGGCCAATAACTGGTTGCTGTCTTGTCGGGTGAAAGGAGAAGGAAGCTCATAAAATATAGACAATTCAAAGACTCCAATAAAGTTATAAAACGGCATGCCAGAGACTCCATTATTGCAGCTGAAAAAGAAAAAAACATGTATGAGCCTCTATTATTGAGGTTCCATTACTGAAGCTGAGCTGTAGAAGAAAAGGACGTACGAGACTCCATTATTGATGTTCCTCACAAGTTGCAGTAGTCAATAGTCATACAAAGATTTTGCGTAACCCTGCACCACTTGTCCGTAGGGAAGAAATTTGAAATTTGGCTTCAAGTTCGCTCTTTTAACAGTACTATTTATTTTTTATTTTTTATTTTTTTTAGATTTTAGCATTACTAATTTTTTAAACTAACCTATTCCAATTGATAACTAGATAATATCATTCCTGTTTCTTAAATGTTTCTTCCTCCACTAATTATAATGTCTAGTATATTAACTATTGCTACGTTATTTTTTTAGTTGAGAAAGTTTATTTTATTTTATTTTTTAAATTACTTTAAGAACTTAAAGAAATGTATAAAATAGTTTATTGGTCAAAATTTCATTAGTTACTAAAGAAATTTCACATTAACAATTATATGAGACAACACGACTGAACATTTTAACCTTCAACTAACCTCATATTTCCTTATGTTCTTAACCTTTTTCTCATTCTGAATAATTGATAATGTCATATTTTAATCTTCTAGTCATTGGTTTTAATAATTGAATGTAAATTTTTTTGGACTAAATGATGCGTATCACATAGGTTCTGATGATGAATTATATTAAAAATACTTTAGAGAACTTTGATGGAAGACCATTTTGATGAAGTTTCTAAATCATTTTGAAAGAAAATATTAGAATTTACATCCAGATATTCAAAATTAAATTTGCACGTAATAATAATATCTCATAATAGACCTTGTTTTTCACTAAGCCAAATATATAAATGTGTACCTACAAATTACTTGGTACCGAGTGTAGATTTTTGAGTATTTGGGTAAGTATTATGTCTAAAAAACTACATCTAAAAATTTTCAAATCAAGTACTAAACATAATTTATACCCAACTTGTACCCAAAAATACTCACCTCTAAATGAAAGATTTGAACTAACATCTTATTGATGGAAGTGTACCTTCAAAACCAGCTAGTAGCCAATTGGCCAACAAGGGCAGGTGAAAGCCTTGGCCTTTTTTCTTCCCTTGAAAATGTATGTTTATCGTCTTTCAGATCGTTTCATGATGTGTCTCCAGATTTGGTCTCAAAGTCTTAAGTAACAGAACAAGCAAGCGCAATGGCCAGCCCAAGTAAGGCCCAGCCTAATGTAAAAACAAAATGCCCAACAACTTCGATTCTCTTTCTGTTTTTTCCTCGGAATAACCCAATGATAGACTGGAAGGATAATCAAATTCAACCCTCCAATTTGTCTTTCCATAAACGCTAGTAATCCATCAAATTATAAAATTTGTTATTCAAACAAAGTAAAGACCAATATATCAAGGAGAATAAACCAAGCCTTCCGGGTCTAGTTATTCATCTCCAAGTTTTAGTACTTGGGTTGGGTTGGTTGAGAGTTCGACTCTACCAACCACTTGAAAAAATTTCTCTTTTCCCATATTTCCTCATGTTCAAAAAATATATATATATATATATATATCAAACAAACCAGTTAAATAAATTTTAAATAGGGATTAAATAAAAGTAACTTGCATATGAGAGGCCTCCATGGAAGTTTCAAGTAGCGTTCTACAAATCAGACAAAACTAGCTGCAAATAAAAAAGGCTAACCTGCTGGGGTTGGCTGAATGTTGCAGTGATCCGAACCATGTTCGAAACATGAGTTAAATCCGACTGTAATAAATTATGAAAGAACCACTTGAGTTCTAGATCTTAAGCAAATCCAATTTTCTCTAAGGATTCAACTTAATGAGATGCTGATTTGATTATCTAAAAACAGTGCACACAGAGAGATAAGCACGCGCCTTAATCTCTATTTTTCCAGTACAAAATTTGTTTCCAAATTGACACCCTGCACCTTTGTCTTTCAACTGCGTTCACTCAATGTCATGAGGCCAGACCTTCATAAGCAGGTGAGTCAATCTGACCTAGAAAAACACTGAATCAGAAAGTAAAAAAGTGCTTATAGCGTCATCACTTAAAAGGTTTTTTCCACTGGCCATATCACTTTAAGGTTATACAACACATGAACAAGGTGTTTAATGTATGCTCAAAAAATCAAGGCAAATCCCACCTTCCAGTTAACTCTTGATCTTCTAACAGTTTGCTATCTTTTCCTCCATAGATTGAATAAGATGACAATAAAATTCTAGTTCAACTAAATAATATCCACTCATATAAGGGCAACTTGTTTCCAGGGAACTGAATATGAAAAAGGCCAAACTCTCTATTTGCACTCTGCACATTATTTTTTCCTGTAGTCAACACCCTTAAGAATTTTTACTCTTGGTTAACACCTTCCATAACTTAAAAAACGTAAAAAACCCAAAAATTAAATGTCAAACTCCCTATTTCCACCATGACTTTGTTGGTAATTTAGGGTTTTTTGCGGGTTTCAAATTTTGGAGGATGTTGACTGTGGAAAAAAATAATGTAAAGGGTGCAAATAGGGGGTTTGGCATATGAAAAATTAAATACCATAATATGCAATTGTCAAAGTAATGTCTGCTTTAATGGAGAGCCCAGTTCTTTACAAGGAACTGAATATGAAAAATCAAATATCATAATATGCAACAGTCAATCTAATCTTAGTTCATGTGTTATATACCAATTTATAAGAAAGACTACCGTTTTAATTGTTTGTAATGCAATTGATGGAGAATCAAAGAAGGGAAGAAGCAACTTCAAGTTAAACTGAATAGAAGAAAAACCATAAATGTTAGCCAATTTCCAGACATTAATTCAATGATGGAAAAAATTAACAAATTGCTATCATTGAAACAGGTGTGCACAACATATGAGTGTGTCCAAGGCATGCAAATGTGAAGTATTAGGGTATGCTACAAAACTGTACAAAGAAGTTCTAAAAGACAAAGTAAAGATCAATTAAGGACATTATCTATTCTCTATCAAATCCAAAAGCATAAATGAACATATACCAAAGAGCAAAAACAGTAAAGTGACAAAAAATGGAAATATTTAGTTATACTACTGTGAAATAAATCATTCTAGGAGAATCATCTTCAATGAATATGACTGTAAAAAACTGATCTAGCTCACTTAACATAAATGATAAGGTAATAAAATAGAGAAAAAAATTAATTCATTTTCTTGCAAATGTAGTTTGATAAAAACAAATGGCTGATACCAGAAAGGAATTGCCTACCGTTAACATCAATCAAGGAAAAAATATACAATTTCTACTTGTAGTGGATCTCCATAAACAAGTATTCATCCCACCTTGAAATCTAATAGTTGGATCTTAGAAAATACAATCCTCAGCATAAGTTTCAGAAGTAAAAGTCCTTATTATAAATGAGGAAAATAAAAGTTAGAAGGTGGTTTGATAAGCAAGTAGCATAAGGTTTCTATAACATTAAAAAATGAGAATGATGTACTACAGTTTGCCCGATGCAAACTGCACTACTTGTAATCATTGATGGAGAGTTGGAGCCCCAATATCAAGGAGACCCCCTGCATCAATGGTTGAGTGAAATGCAGTCTGCACTTCACTTTTCTGTTAAAATAATCCATCCTATTGTTAATACTATAACCCTGCCAAAATAACAACACTACAGAAGGTCCTAAGCAAGAATTTCAACATAAAATCAATTATTTTGACTCAAACTATCACCACTTGGATGAAAAGCGTTACAGGTCTTAAAAATTTTTCTGGATCTCATTTAATATTACGAAATTTCTAATTGAAAGAAAAGATCCTTGAAATATCAATTAAGTGCAATGTATATCAGCAAGTGTTGCTGCCGGGTATTTGATACTGAGAAAAGTTTAGGTGGTAATGTCTAGCAAAAGTTTAATTGGAAGCCACTTTTTTTTTAATTGAATCAAGAAAAATGATTACGTGCAAATTGTTGTCCCTATTGCATTGCATCATTGCATGCAGTTGAAACATCAGATAGCTTAACATTTTGCAACTTGATGTTTGAGATAAATTAGATTTACAAAACTTTTAAGGACCTATGTAGAATTTTTTAAGGTACCTCTAATATTTGAAAAGATCTGAAAGCTTAAGATTAAATTCATTTCTTTTAAATGCCATAAATCTGAATTTAGAAGTTTAAAGAATGAATCCAAAATATAAGTTAGCATGAGCAAGCATGCAATGATGTCCTTGTCCCAAAAAAAACCATGATGTATAAAGTGGGAGTATTTCTCTATTGAAAGGGGGAAAAGCTAATCTTGAAGGGAATAAAATGACATAAAGAAATACCACACCATGACACCACAAAGGAAACAAGTCCACATTCCAATTCCAAGGTTCTGGAGGATTGGACTAGGATCATCGTGTGAATGAATCCTGATCATACAAAAAAGTATTTTATTGGATTAAAAATTTGCAGCAAAAAACAACCTGCCTAAATAACACCTGCACAAAGGGCATATGATCAGCAAGTAGCTTTGTCTTCCAACTACAAGTCACTTCTATGTCATGAGGTGGGACCCTTATAGGTAGGTAAGTCAATCTAACCTAGATGAACACCAAATGAGAAGAGAAAATGTTTCTAGCTATACCACTTTAAGGTTAAACGTGGAAAAGATATTCATTTTATACTCAAGAAATCAAGGCAAATCCCATTCCCTTCAGTTAACTCTTGGTCTTCTAACAGTTTGAGCCTGCTATCTTTTCCTCAAAAGATTTGATAAGATGACAATAAAATTCTAGTTTAACTAAATAATGTCCACTCAAATAAAAGAAACTTGTTTATAGGGAACTGAATCAAAAATCATAAGATGCAATTGTTAATCTAATCTTAGTTCATGTCAAATATCATTTATAAAGAAAGACTACCTTTTAAATTGTTTGCAATCCAATTGATAGAGAATCAAATAATGGAAGAAGCAATTTCAAGTTGCAAGAATAAAGCTGTTTACCTGAATAGCAAAACCATAAACATCAACCAATTTCCAGACATTAGCTCAAAGATGGAGAAAATTAACTAGTTACTGTCATTGAACAGGCATGCACAACATATGTGTGTGAGAGGCTTGCAAACGTGAAGTATTAGAGCAGGCTACTAAACTGTACTCCATGATTTTAATGAAAGAAAGAAAGATCCCAGAAAAAGTAATAGCAAGAGAAGAATATGAGCATATTTCTTGATCCTCTGCCATCAATCGAAATGAGTTGTATTGTCAAAAAAGAAAAATTAAGAATCCAAATAGGTTTAGTTTAGAGTTCAGATACTAAAAGACATGGAGTGAGGATCACAAAAGGATATGATCTATTCTATCAAATCCAAAAGCAGCAATGAACATAAACCAAAAACAATTAAATGACCAAAAATGGGAAAATATTTAGTTATACCACTGTGAAATAGATTCTTATAAAAAGACAGAACTATATATTCAATGAAATATGATGGTAAAAAACTGATTGAGCCTAGTTGACAAGGATGACAAAGTAGGAAGATGAAAAAAAAAGAAAAAAGAGAAGATAATTAAGAAGTCATATTTTTGCAAATGTTGTTTCATAGAAATAGATGAGATTAGAAAGAAGTTGCTTGCTATTAACATCATTCAAGGAAAACATATAAAATTGCCAATCATAGCATATCTCTATGAATGATTGTTCATCCTACCGCAGAATCTAATAGTTGGATCTTCAAAGATACAATTGTCAGCAAAAATGGCAGAAGTAAAAACCACTATTACAATAAGTAAAAAAAAGTTAAAAAAACAAATGGAATCCAATCAAATATGCAGGTAGAATAAAGTTTCTATTATATTAAAAATAAATTACAAATAATTTGCAAAACAAAACAAAAGCTTCCTTTCTATAAGTTGGAGGTCATTGATATGCACCATTTCTAAGATGTTTGATATTTGATAAGCAAGAAATGTGATGACCACGCTTATAGGGCATCATGGTGAAAAATAAGTTGAGTTTAAAATCCTGAACAGCAGATTTAAAAATGCACAAAATATACACTTTATCAGACTGGAAAGCTATCAAATATGAGTTCCCTTTTTTGCAGCCAGGACTACAACAGAGGAACCAGTGGATGGGATAACCCCCGACATCAGGGGGACAACCCCACCCAATGGTTTGAGTTATGCAGTCTAGACTGCACAACACGTTTATGATCAAATATCAAATTCAGATATCATCAAGTTCAACTGAAAAGCTAGAGCAATAAAAAAAATGCTGGGATCTAAATATTTATAAAATAACAGATTGAACAAAGCCTAAGAGGTAAAAAAAGGCACCTGTAACAATAAGCATTTTCATAATCAAACTTGAGCATTTTTAAAACATCATCAATCCCGGAAACCAAAATCTCATCTTTCTCCCCAGTGCTCCCTTTATTCAATCTCCCAAAATTAAAGTGAATAATAGATTTAAAAATATATATATCTCTTGGGAGGACATCACCGGATATTCATGTCTTGTACAATTAACCAAAAAAAATTAGACCTTTTTTCTTTCTGCATTTTCTTTCCTCACCATCCAAACAGAAGAGAGATAGATGGGTACCTCTTCTTGCCAAGAGAGAAGAGACTGAGCAGCTCAGTGACGCCGCTTACTGTCCACTTGAGAAGTGGCGGCGTTTTGGATCCGTTCCCATTTCCTGGTGTAGTTGAGAAGCATCGTGCGACGTCGGCTCTCTGCGGGATGAACGGCGACTGATGGGTCATCCAGTTACGATTTACTGGGGGAGTTGGACAACAGATTCCCGCCATTTTCCCACACCCCCTCAAGCCTCTTTCTTTCTCTCTTTCCATTCCATTGGCTTAATTCAATAATTATTCGATACATCTTTATTTTATTTTAATCTAAATAATTTATTTAAAAAATAATTTATAAGTAAAGTAGTCTTTTAAATTTTAAAAAAATGACACTATAATTTTAATAAAATATAATAAATTAAAAAATACTTTATAAAAATAAATTAGTTAGAATTTATAATGAATTTGAGGATTTTGTTCAATTTGAAAAGAAAAACTTAGTAAGTTTAGAATGAAAAGTTTCATTATCAGTAAAAGTTAGAACACTTAACTACTAAATAAAAATAAAGAGGGAAAGAATAAATACACTAGGATACATTCTTAATATACTTCTCTTAATATAAATAATGAATAAATAAACTAGATTAACATGTATTTACTTAATACATTAAAATATAATTAGTATAGAAGATATAATTATCATTGCTAAGATTTTAGAAATAGAAGCTATTAATGAAAATACCTTAAGAGATGAGAAAATCTCTTTCTCTATAGTTTAATACCATTAAAGAAAGAATAAATGATGTCAAAAATTTTAGAGATTTGAAAGAAATAAAAAAAAGAAATAAGAATTATAAAAGACTCAAAGACTCTGATATCTTGAGTTAGAGATATAGAAATCAAAATAAAAGAAATTTTTAAGATATTAAAAGTGATCGTTGAAAAATATACTATAAAAACTTAAGATGTATAATAAAATAATCCCACAACTAGAAAGTGATATAAATAAGAATTTTTATAAGATCCAAATTCAACTTAAGAATCTACAAGTTACTATAATATTAGTTTGTAGTACACGAATTATTATAGCTAGAAAGGAAAGATTTAAAATAATCCCAAAAATTTTTATAAAAAAACATAAATCAAAGGGAATAACACTTTTTATGTTAAGAAGTCAAGAAGAAAAATTTAAAGAATTGAAACAAAGATTCTTAAAAGAAGAAAATGTAGAAGAATTAGATAATCTTTACAAACAGATTATGATAACTACAAAACAACTAGAAAATATAAAGGTGAATGCTCAAAGAGAAGGAAAAAGCTCAAGTGTCATCAAAAGTGTTCCATGAAGAGTCTCCATCAATCAAATCTGATTTTAATGATTATTTTGTTATTGATATGGTTGATGAGATTTTGCAAGAAAACACTTTTGAGGATTCATTTGAGATTTATCTTATTCAAGCAAAGGACCCAATCAAAGAATACATAAATTGCTTGAACACATCCTCATTACTTGGAATCGAAGGAGGCAATCCTAGAAGCATTGGGAAGACACATCTCTTTGCCTAAACCCAGACCGCCTTAGAATAGTAATAAAAAAAAAAAAAATCTTATGTTCAATTCAATCTAAAGGCAAAAAAGCCAAGATTCAAGAAAACAAGAGATATGCCCTACGACTTGATTTAAAACCACCCTAGAGTGGTAGAAAGTCTAATTAATGATTATAAATTAAGCATTTCTTAAGAGGCAACCCAAGCAAAGAGTTTTATTTTTATTTTTATTTTTTGCTTTTATTTTGATAGTGTAGATTTCATTATTTAATTTTTTTACTACATGGCCCAAGTTAATGCATAAGTATTGAGGAAATTCAAATCTCACTAAGATTAAAGGCACTTTAACTCAAGTTTCAACTGCAAATCTTGGTCATTCAACAAGTTTGGGGGACGAGATTTTGGAAATTCACATGCTAGAAGCCTCCTCTAATTGAAGACAACTTAACTTCAAAACTCAAATTTCAAATTTTCAAGTGCAAAACCTAGGAAGTTTCTCTTTCCTTTTACTTTTATTTTACCTTGAGGACAACGTTTGATTTAAGTTTGGGGGAGAGAATAACTGTTAGTTGTTCATTCTTACATTAGTTTGCATTCATATATTTGCATGACATTAGAGTAATTTTTTTAGGAGTTGGTTCAATTAGTGCAAGGAATTGAATATTCTTGAATTGGAAATTCAAAAACTTTTAAAATCTTTGAATCTTAAGTATGTTTCGTGAAAAAAATAAAATAAAATGTCATAGTCTTTGTTACTTGAGTAAGTATGTTATTAGGAGTGCCTCTTTGCCTAATGCCCTGAAGGCAGCTATGTTATATCTATGATTTTAATGATTACAGATGATACTTGAATTACTAATTTGTTTATCTAAGTGTGTAGTTTAGAACCTAAAAGCTAGCAAGAGTGAATGGACTTAGACTGCACTAAAAAAGAACCTAAATGTTGAAAATGGTGCAGAGAGTAGGCTATCATTTTCTATAGCCAGCTTTGGAAAAATGCAAAAAATGTGATGAAGTGTAGAGAGCCAGCTCTATAATTTTGCAACCAACTCTAGTGAAGAAAAATGTAAAAAGTCGACTATGAAAGCTGTAGTTGGCTTTATTGGTGAAAAGTTCAAACCTACGGTTTAGCGCTTATGGAAAATGGATGCAAAGTTGGCTATGACTCTGCAATTAGCTATGATGGTGCATTTAATGCTCAACGGTCAAATTTTTCAAAAATTTTTTAATCTTTCAAACTCAGGTTTCCTAAGCTGACTTTGTGTTTTGCAATTGGCTCAACAGAAAAAACAAAAAGTGTAGATGTAGCAAAAAGTTGGCCTTACTATCATAGCCAGCTCTTCATAGCTGGCTTTATTAACAAAGTCTGCAGCATGTTTTCTCAAATTTAAACTAATTTGTAGGACATGAAATGAACCCCAATGGCTAGAAATGGTTATTTTTTACCAAGGTAGTATAAATATGATTGGTAGAAGTCTTGAAACAAGTTTTAGACATTTTTCTTCGTATATCTTTCATCTACTAAATTGTGATTCTTGTGTTTTAACTTGAGATTTTTAATCATTGAGTGTTCTTCACATGTAATCTTCTACTTTTTTTCTTTAAGAGTTATCTTGGGGATGTGATTATTTTTTCAAGAGTGATTTATAATGAGAATTGTTGGGTTTATCTTGCAAAAGCGTGAGATTTGTGAAAAAACCCATTTTCTTGTAAAGGGATTGAATGGCTCTTTTAAGCTACCCTTGTTCTTGTTAGTGGAGAGTGTTAGGAAATCCTTGGTGAGTGAAGTTAAGGCAGAGTATTAGATGCCAAGTAGTTGGACTGAACCTTTATAAAATCTTTGTGCAAGTTTCTCTTCTCTACTCTCTTTGATTTTTGCTTTGTGGGTGCAAAAAGGAAGAAATTTTTTAAACTCCAATTCACCTATTGAAGTGCATTTAACCAACAAACTAGTTTGGGAATTAGTAATAGAAAACTCGTTATATGAGTAACTTAGAAAGCCTAAGGGAACTCAACACAAATAATAATAATAATAATAAGTGCTAAAGTGTGAAGGTCTAAACTTGAAGCTTTTACTAGGAATTTTCACACACACTAAGTGCTCATGAGCTAAATCTTTTGATGAGTGGTGTGAAGAATAGGATAAAGTATTTGACTTTAAGTGAGTGTATGAAAACTCTTGAATATTTGAGACTTTATATCTAATTGAATTTTAGGTCCCAAATTTTCTTTGCATACATATCATGTAGTTGCATTCTTGCATTAGGATTTTGTAGGTGGATTCACTGAAAACCTTCACCAGACGCAACTCATCCATTAAGGTGACCTAAGGGTTTAAAGACTTGTTACACATATTAAGTGCAATCGTCATGCGTTCGATTTTTTTTTTTTTTTGTTATTTGTTTTATTTATTTATTTTACTCAAGGACGAGCAAAACTTAAGTTTGAGGGAGTTTGATGAACTGAATTCATATGTATTATTATAAAATTTTTGACTTGATATTATTGATATTTATATGAGTTTTATAAGATTTTACTTGATTTTCTATAATTTTCATTATTTGTGTCGAAAATAACTTATTAGGAAGAAATCACAACTTTTTGGCACCAAATTCCAAAGATTAGAAAGTTGAAGATTGAGTTGCACCAAAGTCAAAAGTTAGAGACCAAGATTGTCGTTTTGCCATTAATCCAAATTCTCCGACAAGAACTGTTTTTTTCTAATATAGTAAAGGTGTTAGTACCCTTTTTTGAGGTGTCGTTCCCTTGGGCATTATCAGCAGGTCACGCCTAGCATTTAATATTTGGTTAAATCCTCAATTTGGTCCTTGAACTATTGTAAGTACCCTTAATTTGGTCTCAAACTAAAAAATTCTTGATTTGGCCCCTAAATTACTGTACGGATCCTAATTTGATCCTTACTGTTTACCAATTTGCCCTAAGTTGGTCTTTCCATACAAAAAACAGTTGATATGTCTCATTATTAATATAACACGCAGCCGTTAAGTAACTATTTTTCACTATTAAATAACAAACACGTCAATTATTTTTTGTATGCAAGGACCAACTTGGGGCTAAATAAGTAAATACTAGAGACCAATTCGAGGCTCCATACAATAGTTCAAAGATCGAATTAGGAGTTTAACCTTAATATTTTGTGTATGTGTCATAACTCAAATATTCGATAAAATTTTATTTTTAGTTTTTATCTTTATTTTAACTAACATGTTTTGTTTTTGCTTTCATTGTTAGGTTCATGAGCAAAAAAAGGGGATTTTTGTGAAGAGGTTTGGAAAGAAGTTGAAAGAAAGGACTTAATTGAAGAAATTAAAAGTTTAAGGGTGAAATTCATCAAGTTAAAACCACAAATCCAGCCCATACCCAATATTGAGCCCACTAGCTATTCAAGCCCAAAACCAATCCTAAAAACTCACCGTTTTATACAAACCTAAAAAGATGAAGTTTCGTAATTCTTCTTCATTCTCACCCTCTCTTTCACGCAGACTCTCAGCCTCCCTCCTTTCCCTGCACAGAATTTCACCAGCGGCACCGCCTTGCATGGACTCTAAAAGCCCTTTCATCTCACTAATTTCTAAATCCTTGTCTCTCTCACCCTCCCTTCCCCATGCAAATTCACCGACAACTTTCTTTCTTTCCCTAGTCGTCATCATCATCTCCCATGGCTCCCAAAATCTTTCATCTCTACCGAGTTCTCAATCCTCACTCTTTTCTCCCTCGATTCCTCAATTCTCGGCCTTTATTACATCTCTTGTTCATCCACCCAAAGCACTTTCACAGACAAGTGTGACCCACACTGGCAAGTGAACACCAAAATTGGAGAAAAGAGAGCCAAATCTATCGATCGGCGACGGAGGTGCTATTCACGGATGCCAACGAGAGAAGAAGCTTCCTGGGAACTCCCAGTTCGACTGCAGATTTGATAAGTTATTGCTTAGATCATCCTACCAGCCGAAATGGGTTCGATATGGGCCATTTTCTTAAAAAAAAAAAAAAAGGCCCAGATTGCTTCCAAAGGCTGGAAAGTGTAGATCCAAATGGGCGAGCTTCACTGAGTATGGGCCTTTGAGTGATTTGGGTTTTAGGTTTTTTCTTTTTTCTTTTTCTTTTTCTTTCTTTTGCTTTTGCTTTTGCTTTGATATAATTAAGGGTTTTGGGGAGGTAGAAAATGAGGTTCTGGAGTCTAAGAAAGAGGGGTTTCTTTTGAGACAACAACGGTTGAATAAGAGAAGGATCGTTGAGTTTCCAGAGGGATCGTTGGAGTAGGTACATTTTCTAGGTTTATCTCTCTTAGGTAATTTCTAAAACAGAGGGTTTTTTTTTTTACATACTACAGGGAACTCTTAGTAAATTACAAGTTGCCTCTCTTTCTCTCCCTTGGTTTCTATCTCCATTCTCTCCTACTCTTTCTTTGGCCCTACCTAGAGCCTTTATCTCTCTTAGTGCTTAGGGAGGCATGATGAATTATAATTTTCTTCCCATGTGTTGTTTTCTACTTGTAAATCCCAACACATTGGAAATAAGTATGTTATGAACACCAAACTCAAGCTATGGAAATTGCATGTTTCGAAAAAAAGTACAAATTAACAAGAAGTCTACATTCTAATACAAAATAGTAACACATTGTACTAATTCACTAACAAATGACAGAAACAGCACTTTCTATTGGAGCCTAGATACCCAAAGACTTAACACCCCGATTTTATTCCATTACAATGATATGCAAGCATGATATTGCATGCAGGGCATAGATAATTAATCTTAAAATATGATTAAAACACAATCACCATCATGGATAAACCTCAATGAGAGATCTTACACCCAATATAGGAAGTATCTTATATCCATTGAAACCAGCTTCAAAGAACAACTTAGCCCATTCTTCCTCATTCCTCTCCTTTCCAGTAACCAACACCATCATCATCATGTCAAAGAAAAGCTGTGTTTCAATCGACTCCTTGTCTCCTTCATTCATCCTCACCATATCTATTATGATAACTTTCCCACCCTTTCCATTCTTCTTTATTGCTTCTTTGCAGCGGTTAAGCATTTTCACACATTCCTCATCACTCCAGTCATGTAGAATCCACTGCTTGCCATAAAAAACATAAGTTAAATTGAGTGGTTAAATAATGTAACTACTGTTGTTGATTTGAAGGTTTTTGGTGTATTGAATACATACCTTCAATAACAATGCATCTGCTGGTGGAATCGCTTCAAACATGTCTCCTCCAACAAATTTCAAGTTTTTTATGTCTTCCAAGCCAGCCACAACGTGAGGAAGATCAAATACAGTGCAATCCAAGTGTGGAAATGCATCAGCAATGGCCTTGGCTAGAGTTCCAGTCCCGCCTCCTATGTCCACCAATGAGTTTAATCCCTCAAATACCTTTCTATTCTTGTTGTTGACTAGCACTTTGCCAACCAATTGAGAATCACTACCCATTCCATTATTGAAGAAGTGGTTTAAATTTGGGTCACAGTTAGCACAGCCCCAAAGTGTGGTTCCATGCTGTGTATAAAAAGGGTTGACGTCGTCATTTTGGAACCAAGAGGCTAAACGATACCAAGGCTTGGTCAACATGGGGTCGAGCATCGCATTCATGAAAGGGGTTACACTCATGGGTTCATTCTTCAAGAAGAGGCGAGAAGCACTCGTGAGAGAATAACCGTCATCTTGGTTGTTCTCCCCTAACTGTTGACATGTGAAGAAGCCAGAATGAACCAAAATGCACATGAGGCGTTGGATGCAAGGAGCCTTTTGCGCATTGATTTGAAGTGCAACAG